CAACTCCAGTGGGCTGGCCACGTTGTTCAAAAACCAAAAGTATTTTTGCCTGAAAGACTATTTTATGGAGAGCTCACACAAGGCAAATGCTCACACAGAGGTCAGAAGGAGTGATTCAAGCTTAAGGTCTCTCTGAAGAACTTTGGAATCGATTGTGAGACATGGGAGACCCTGGCCCAGGACCACCTGGCATGGTGCGTCTGCATCAGAGAAGGTCTGTGCTCTATGAGCAATGCAGAATTGCGGTGGCTCAAAAGAAATGCGAGATGCATAAATTTAGAGACATCTCTACTCCAAATGTTTACACGGACTATTTATGCCTCACCTATGGTAGAGCTTTCCAAGCTTGCATTGGTCTCATGAGCTACAGTTGGACACACTGGACCTTGACCCCAACATAGTGATGTCATTTTGGTCCTCTTCAAGAACAAAGGAAAACAACTACCTTGAGCAAATAGCTTTTTTCTTTATTCTGGGCCTCAGTTCCTTCATCTGTAAAATGGGGATAATAATAACACTTAAATCCCAGGGTTGTAAGAATCAAATGAGATAACATGTATAAAGTACTTTGCAAACCTTAAATCTCTATGTAAATACTAGTTATTATTATTATTATTGTTACCATCATAGAGGCATGAAACAAAGTATTATGTGAGATCAGAAGGGAAAGACTGTTACTGATGGTGGTAGGGGTTATGAAGCAGTGATCAAGGAGGGGACCTGGAGGAGGAAGCATTTAAAATGAATGACATGAAGTCAGGGATGTTGGCTCACATCTTTGGTTGCTGACATTGTGGAACGGACGCTAGCAGATTGCTTAAGCTCAGGAGTTCTGAGCTATGGTAGGGCTAAAAGTTAATTAGGTGTCTGGTACCACGATGGCAAGCCCATGGAAGTGGAGGATCACCAGGCTTCCTAAGGAGAGGTCAGTAGGCCCAAGTCGGAAACTGAATAAGCCAAAGCTCCTATGCTAAGCAACAGAGGGGTTGGGCTCATGAGTGGTTGCTGTACTTCTAGCCTGGATGAGATAGGGACTTCGGGTCTCAAAAAAAAATTAGTGCCATGATCAGATCTACACACAAGGAAAATGATTCTGATAGTGGTGTGAAGGGTAGATTAGGGGCAGGGGGGTGGGGGCCGGTGGCATAAGAGGCAGGAAGTTAACATGAAAGGGTTTAGGCTTAGAAGATAAGTTAAAAGTAATTTTTAATTAGAACTATTATGCTTGTTTTTCTGTGGTGTTCTACTCTTTGGACCTCATGGAGCATACTGTCCATGTGGTTTTCTTGGCAAAGATACTGGAATGATTTGCCATTTCCTCCTCCAGTGGATTAAGGCAAACACAGGTTAAGTGACTTGCCCAGGGTCACACAGCTAGTAAGTGTCTGAGGCCGAATTTAAACTCAAATCTGTGTGACACAGTAGATAGAGTGCCAGGCCTAGAGCCAAGAAGACTCACCTTCCTGAGTTCAAATCCAGCCTCAGACATTTGCTAGCTGTGTGACCCTGGGCAAGTCACTTCACTCTTGTCTGCCTCAGTTTCCTCATCTGTAAAATGAGCTAGAGAAGGAAATGGCAAACCATTTCAGTATCTTTGCCAAGAAAACCCCAAATGGGATCACGGAGAGTCACACTACTGAAAAATGACTAAACACCTTCCTGACTCCAGGCCCAGTGATCTATCCACTGAGCCATCTAGCTGCCTCTAGATAGTATTGACTAGTTTGTTTTAGAAGTGATATCAAAATGGTTATTTTATTTTGATTACCAAAAATATTTGATACTCAAGTTAACTACATTCTTCCTTTATTTTTTAGTATTTGGAACAGAGAAGCCTGAAAATGACAGTTGTGTCATACAGGTAGGAGCCAGGTCATTTACAGCTGCTACATTTTATACACACACACACACACACACACACACACACACACACACACACACACAC